AGGGTTAGGGAAAGGAGGAACTATCTGTCTTTAGCCCTTGCAGTTTTAGCCCTGGTATACTTGTCTTTTTGGTCTATAACAAAAGACATATAATTTTAAAATTTTTAATTTAATGGAGAAACAATTTTATTGTCCTTTAGCGCATTTGGATTTTCAAAAGCTTTCTAATAATAGTATATTTCTGTTCACAATTCAATTATTTAAAGTATTTGTGTAATTAGTAATATCAGTATAATAAATAGAATCTATTTTATTAAAAGGAAGCAGATTATAACTGAATTGTACTGAGTGATTTTATTTGGGGACTGTGTTAGGTCTGTTTCCCAGGAGGCCAACTTAGAGAGGGAGTTTTGGGTACAGAGGTTTATTGGGAAGCTCTCTGGGGATTACTAACTATAGGGGAAGGGATGGAATGAGAATTGGGCAGAGGGAGAAGTTGGGCTCCAAGGTTGTCCCAACAAAGGCATTAGCCATCCCATAGAGAGTTCTGGGGTTTGGAATTGCCCTTCAGAGTTGTCCTGGACTTAGCAGAGAGTATGGATCTTGGTCCTCACCTTACACCAGAGCTGATCATTATGTGACAGTTGCCTCTGGGGAGGGGTGAAGCTGTTCCATGATGCCATTGCTAGGGAAGGTTCCAGCTGTGAGCTATGGATACCTAGTGCCTGGTCCTGAAGGGACATCTGGGGGGATCACCCTGGCATTCACTTATATTTGTTTTTCCAGCTTTTATCAAGTGTTTGGCAGAAAACAACATTCATTACCATGATAATCATTTAGCTCAACTCGAATTCATCTAACATTTGATATCCTATTGTATGCCCAAATCTATGTTAAGCTGAGAAGAAGGTTACCTGTCATGTAGGAGCCTATAGCCTAGCAGGGGTTTACCCAGAGGCAGACAGAAGATGGCATGGTATTTGCTCTAGTAGACAGGATGCCCTGGAAGAAGTCATTAGGAGAAGAATGCTTCACCTATTAAAGGCTGTAACCTGATCATTCAAATGTAACCCCTCTCTCCAGTTTTATTCTAGCTCGAAAAGCTGACCGACTTGCTAAACTACAGAAAGAGATAAGGTAAGAATATATATCTGAAAAATAGATAAAAGGTCAGCCTTTTATTGTGTTTGTTGCACTAACAGTAAAATGGCATTAAGAAAGATACAATACTTCACTAATATTCTCAAAATCCAACAAATCAACCTTTTTATATTTTGCTATATTTTCCTTGTCCCAGCCCTTGTTCATATGCATATATCGATTTAATTTTACAAATTAGTGTTCATTTTATAGTATCTGATGGGTAGGGTTTCCCCATAAAATGGATGGAGAAAACAGTGGAAAATGTTAGCTGTGAATAAAGCAATAGAGGCCATACCCCTGTATCTTTGCAAGGCCATTGTCCTTTTTCTAGAGTTCTATGATGTAAACTTTTACTGAAAAAGTAAATCCATACATATGTGTTTTAACCAGTAGCAACATATGCACATAAAAGTGTTCACTACTGATTATCTGGGACACAGCTCTGATTTTCCCTTCCTCAGAGATCTTTCTAGTTTAAAACAGTTATTTTAGGATAGTGACTTTTTCCCTCTTTCATCCTTTCTCTCTTTCTGTCTTGTATATTTGTTTTGTCTCAGAATCCTTTGTTCAAATAAAATCTTACCTGGAAGAGTAAGCCTGTTAACATCATTCCTCTAGGAATTTTTAGGCTTCCCTCTAGGGTAGCCCTAAATCCTTTGCTAGCTTTTGAAGAAAACCAATGCATACACAAATGTAGGCTTTTCTCTGCATTTAAAAACTCAACAGCTAACCCAATTACCAGTGCTTGCTCTGGGAGTTACTATGATGATTTTATGAGTTAGGGAGAGACACTAACTAGGTGCAGCGCCTGATTTAAGGCTTTACAGCCTCCAGAACCCCTTATTATTTTTCTTTTCTTTTTTCTAACTACTATTTTATTCAACTTTATTTATTTACTTATTTTATTTTGATCTGAGAGGGACAGAACAAGAGAGAGAGAAAGTGGGAAAGTGAGAAAGCAAGCCACCAGGTATGAGACTTGAACCATGGTCGGCCATGTGGGAGTCTAGCGCCCTTAACCACCAGGCCACCTGCCGGCCCAAGAACCCCTTATTCTTATAGTACCAAAAATAAAACTGGATGTGAAAAAAAAAAAAGAAATGAGAGATCGAGTACCTTATTCAAGACCATGAAGTTTAGGTGGGAAAACTCCTCTACCACAAAAAAAGACTAGAAAACAAAAACTATACTGCAGTATCTGCTTAAGGATACACACATTAAAAAAAAAAAAAAGCCATGTTAACAAAAACAGCTTCTCCTGGTTCAGCAACTGAAAGAAGATTATTTTAATGAGTTTTGTATCCACTATCACATTTGTTAAAGAATATTCCCGTAAGTATCAAATATATTCCTGAAAAAGATAAGAACACTTCAAAAGTGTTTAACTCATATATCACATTGGAGTACATTCTGGAAAGAAACAGTAGAATGGAAAAAATACAGACTAGCTCATACTTTGAGGAAGTCATTTATATCTACCCCTCAGTTCTCATCTATACTCTATACTTTTTACACTGTAGGAAATGTTTTTCATTCATCCATTCAAAAAGAATAAAGCACCATACAAACTTAATTTTTTGCATGTGTTTGTTTGTTTTAGTTTTGCCATAGTTTGCATATGCTCACTGGAGAGATAGAGGTAGAGAAACTGAGAAATCAACCCCTGAGGGGATGCCCACGCTGCAATCCTTTCTCCTCTCAGAATTTTAGGCACACATGCACACGTACCTGGTGTATTCTTCAAGCCTCTGGGTCTGGGATTTAACCATGGAGTCGGCCATGTGGGATCCAGTCGCTTTAATCACCACACCAACTCCTAGCCCCAGTTTGTATCGTTCTTACTGGGAAAAAGGTTGTCATTTTAAAAGCATAAATAAGCATATTATCTGTTGTTTAAAAGTAAAATTTTTTAAAAAGGTTAGAGAAAGACTTTAGAATGAGTGCCTACATGTGCACATGGATTTCTTTATTTGGCAACCGTGAGATTTGAGGTCAGGAAGGGAAGTATTTTAGTTTCTACCTACTTACTCAAAAGAGGAAGAATTTTGAGTCCAGTAACAGAATGATTTGTTCTAGGCCTCACAGTCAGTGTCAGTCCATTGTGCTGCTATAACAAAATGCCTAAGACTAGGTAATATATGAAGAACACAAATTTATTTTTTTCACTGGCTTTACAGCCAGTGTCCTATTCTATTGTGCTGCTATAACAAAATTCCTAAGACTAGGTAGAACACAAATTTATTTCTTACAGTTCTGGAGGCTGAGAAGGTTAATATCATAGTGCAAGAAGATTCCATGTCTGATGAAGATCTGCTCTATTGATGGCATTTTTCTCTTGAGGTGGAAAAGGGAGAATGAAGAAGAGCAAAAAGGGCCTTGCTAGTTACTTCCAGCCCTTTTGAAAAGGCACTAATTCCATCTAAGAGAATAGAGCTCTCATGATTTAATCATTTCTCAAAAGGTCCTACCTTCTAACACTATCACCTTAGACATTGAGTTCCAACATATGATTTTTGGAGGGACACATACATTCAAACCATAGCAACTAGCTTGTGACAAAGTCAGGAGTAACATATAATGCATACTCTTTTTTTTTCTATTATACCATACTAAGCTTGACATTTTCCCTTGGATTTCCTGCTTTCCTTCCTTATTGATAGTAAAATAAATACCAGCCTGGAGGTAGACATTTGGTTATGATTTCACACAGTGGCTGAGCTTCTCAAAAATTCTTATAAGGCAAAACTCTTACTGAATATGTCATTGGTAAAAGCACTGATTCCCAGAATTGACTGCATGAAAATCCTCTGGAGGATGTTTGAAACATATATTTTTCTGAGGCTTCTACATTGTTACTCAGTAGGTTTGAAGTAAGGCCTGAGTATTTGTGTTTTCTAACAATGTTTTCAGGTAATTAAGATGCGCATCCAGATTTAGCAACTGGTGGATGAATTCAGCTACAAGAATGCATATTGACCTCTTTTGGTTGTCATTTAAAGTATGTTCTATTATTTTTAGAGTCACTTATTCAATCAATGCATTGCTCTGGCATCCTTGCCTTACATGTCTTTTCCAAAGACATGGTGAAGGTCTGCTCCATAGATAGTGTTTTTCTCTCAACGTGGGAAAGGGAGAAGGAAGAAGGGCAGTTCCCTAGTTCCTTCTAGCCCTTTAAAAAAGGCACTAATCCCATCTAAGAGGATAGAGCTCTCATGGATTTAATCATTTCTCAAAAGGTCCTACCTCCTAGTACTATCGTCTTAAATGTTAAGTTCCAACACATGATTTTTGGAGGGACATGTACATTCAAACCATGTTTAATTTTAATGGATGGAATGGAAGGGAAATATAATGTCCTGATGTGTTCCTGTGAATTTGTCCTTGGCTCAACTAATAATACAAAATATAGTAAATAATTATAACTGGTTTTCTTATTCATAATTGAGAAATTATCTCCAATGTAAGTTGATTGGGTTTTAGGTTTCATTCTACTTTAATAAAGAAGTTTTACAGATTCTGAAAATAGATTAAGCATCATTAAGTTTTGTAGAATAATGATTGTCGATACTTTTATTTTCTAATTGACTAAAAATGTCAGAATTGAGTCAGTCCCATGGCCTGGTGGTTAAGGGAGCTGGATCCCATATGGCCAGCTGTCTCAGACTCAGCAACTTGAAGAACATGCTGGGCACATGTGTGTGCATGCCCATAACCTCGAAAGGAAGGAGAGATAGAGGAGAAGGGATTGTGGCATGACTGTGTCCTATTGAGGGATGCATTCTCCCATTGGGGGATGCTCTTCTCTTTTTGTCTCCCTCTGGCAAGTACATGCACCCTCTGGCAAATTAAAAAAAAAGAAAAGAAAAATGTCTGAATTAGGCTAGGAGAAAGGGTACCCTACTAAACTGAGGATGGATTTTGATTCAACAAATATTTGTTGAGCACCTACTACAGACAGGATGCTCCACAGAATAGTCTTGACCTGCCATTAATTAGCTGAGTGATGTTGAAATCATCTCTGCAGCTCACTGAGTCTCACTTTCTCATCTCTGAAATGAGGAACTCAGATTACACAGAGAAAAATACACAGGTAGACTGCAGTCTTGATACTTCTTCCTGTTCTTCCTTTCCTGGATGATTTTTGATGTGTAGTATGAACAGCTCCATGAAGGAAACCAAATTTGTCCCAGCTGTCCTGGAATTTAAATATCCAACTAATGTTGTATAATATCATCTCAGCAGTACCATTAGTCTCTCTCCTAACACCCTCCATGAGAAAATGGTGGCAATAAGCAATGTTCATAATTCCATTTCTTTCTCATGACTTAATACTCTACATGTATGAGGTAGAAGTTTTATGAGTTAAATAAATGGTGAATGTGTGAAGATTAGATAGGTTGTATGCATTTACCAGAGGGAGACAGAGCAGGACACGGAGAAACCACCCCTTAAATAGGTGTTGTCACATCACAATCCCTTCTCTACTCCTCCGTCCCATCAGACTTTGGGGCATGCATGCACACATGTCTAGCATATTTTCTAAGCTACTGGATCTGGGGCTTGACCTACGCAGTTGACCATGTGGGATCCAGTTCCCTTAACCACTAGGCTGTGGGATCAGCTCTTAAAAATATTTTCTAATGTAATTGGCAACATAAAATTATATATTTTTAAGTCCATCTTTTAACAGTAAACTTGCCCTTCTCCTTTGCTACCCACATGTTTGTGGCCATTTGTCTCTTCAGTCTTACAGTGTTGAATTAAATCTTCTGCCTTTTTTTCCTTTAGGTTTTTGCCGTTGGGCATATGCCTGTGTCAAAGAAAGACAGAGAAAGGGAAAGTGAGATATCACTGCCCAGGGAGAATATCCATGCCCCCTTCTCTTCCATTCCCTTCTTGAAATTTTGGGCATGCATGCACATGTGCCCAGTATGATTTTCAAGCCATGGGTCTGGGGTTTGAACTGCAGTTGGTCATGTGGGAGTCCAAGGCCTTAACCACCACACCACCTGTTGGCTCCCTTTTGTCATATTTTTTAACAAATATTTTTTGAGTTGTCTGTTAACCTGTATTAAATACTTTGGAATACTTTCAAACTATTTAAAGACTAAAAATGGTTAATATGAAAAATGTGCAACTGGATCAGTATGAACCAATTCAAACAAACAACAAAATAGAACTATTAATTTCTACAACAGGCGATTTTAGTAAATTAGACCTTATTTCAAAGTATCACCAAAAGTAGTTGTGAGTTTAAAATATACTTTGTTTTGGGACCAGCAGATGGCTTCCTGGTTACATCATTGAACTCCCAAGTGGTCAACTGTGATTCGAGTCCTGGACCCAGTGGCTTAAAACTTATGCTGGGCACATATGAATGCTTGGACGCAATCCCAATAGGAGGATGGAGGAGAAGGGATTGTGGCATGGCCATGCCCCCTGGGGGGTGATTTCTTGCTTTCTGTCTCTTTGTCTTTCTTTGTCTCTCTGGTGAGCACACACACCCTATAGCAAAAATCTCTCAGAAAAAAAAAATTTGCTTTGTTTTAAGAAGAGTTTAGATAAATACAGCTACTGATTTTTCAGACATAGTGCATGCCACTTTTGTGTTAGTCTTTTGTATAATTATGAGCACAACCAAAGACTATTTGAGGTCACGTCACATAGCATATTATATGATGTATCTGTATCTGGACAGCCTCCAGATAACCCTTTGGAGGACTGTGCTCCATAGGCCATGCTATTAAGTGACAAATTACTAGACTGAAATAGCAGTAAACTTCTCCTGGTATAGTGTAACTTCTGTTATGGTTAAAGGATTAAGTGAGCTTTATATGTATGTAGATTAAAAGATACTCACCATCGTATGTTCTATTGACTTATAAAAGGGCTCATTCTAGAATTCTTCATATTTCAGAGAATTGATACAGAATCAGTACCCAAGACTGACTAAATTTAATTTAATCTTATTTTTCTCATTTGTATCTTGAGTAGATATGTTAAATAGTGAAAAAATTATAAAATAAAAATTGTGTTGAATCTTCAAATCAAATGACTTACTGAGGCTTACCAAGTTCATTTGAGTGCAGAGATAGAACTTCTTGTTTTGTATAGTTATAGAAGGCCATTGATTTGCATTTTCTTGTAACAGCTGGTCCATTGGCAAGAGCCCTGGGACTGATTGCATTTATTATATACCCATCAGTTATTACCTCCTTAACATTTTTTTGGTTCTTTTTTATAGGAAGAAAAAAATCTGTGAGCTGTATGCCAAAGTTTTGGGATCTGAGGAAGCCTTACATGTAAGCAGCCCCCCAGCTTTAATCCCTCGCTGGTTCTCTGTTTTCTCTAGTTCCTGGCAGTCTTATGAAGAGAATGTAAAGGTTATACTTAACTTGGAGGATTAACTTTACAGTCACAAAAGGCCATTAAAAACTGGTGTCAGGTATATGGAATTTGAGATGAGGCAGTTCCTTTGGGTTGTTTAAATGTCCACTGAATAACTGGCAGCCAATTGTCTTTAGAGCCCAGAGCTACAGGTATTATGTCAAGGTTGGATGAGATTACTTCCCATAACAGAGGTTCTGCCCTCCTCTCAGTGTCAACCACCTGCTAAATAGAATCCCAGGCATAGTATATGCTTGACAAGATAGACCGAACCTAGACACTTTACCCAAGTCAAAGTCATACTAATTTATTTTTCCATGTAAGACTCAATCTACAACTTGTTTAGGAATTTCAGTGCTTTCAGTCCACCAATGAAAGAGATTAGGAGAATTATTTCTGATTAATCTACTGATAGCTAGGGACTCTTTCAGGGGATTATCTCTGAACTGTTCAAATACTAAACTTTAAGAGTGTATTTGGGAAATTGGAGAAGGTTCTCTCATGTCCCTTAGGAAGTGTTTTTCATTTTAATTGCCCCTTTTTAAGCAGAAGTCTAATCATTCACTTTTCAGCTTTGAGAAGTAGTTCAGACAAAGCATTTCTTAGACACCGCTTGGCTTCCACCTCCTCTCTCTCATTGTTTTCTCAGCAGTAATGTTATGCAGATGGAGAAGTTAATTTTATTATTTTATGGACTAGAGATGTGAACAGACCTTTCACAAGCTGATTATTGAAGAGGTTTCCTATATACCTAGTTCTAAAGACTTCAGAATGTGTGTGCATGGGGATAGCCTCTCTCCCAGATACTGGAATACTTCATGCCTCCCATCGTCAAGAGGTTGAGAAAGTCAAAGCAAACATATTATACCCCCTTGGTACTTCACAAAAGGCCATTATTGGTTCTATCATGTTTCCCTGTAAGTGAGTTAGAAAACAGAATCTTTGTTTTAGTTTTTTGCAATATAAACTTTTGTTAATGTAAAACATACAAGAACTTTCATTACTAACTTGCAGCATTTTTAACTTTGTTTTCTCTTTGGTATTTTCTCCCTACTGAACTGTAGCCGGTACACTATGAGGAGAAGAATTGGTGTGAGGAGCAGTACTCCGGGGGCTGCTACACAGCCTATTTTCCTCCTGGGATCATGACTCAATATGGAAGGTACTATGCTGATTTATACAAGATGTGGGAAAGCTAGAATTAGTAGCCTGCATTCCCTCTCATGTCCCAGCCAGTTGATATGTTTCTAGATATCCATAGAAAGATAAGGATGTCAGCCCACAGAACAATAGCAGAACACCAGAGAAGACTTTAGATCTCAGCAGCATACTGTTACTTCGAAAAGTTCTTGGGAAAAATGAAATTAAAGTACAAGTTTATTTTGGTGCAGAAAAACATTTCAAAATCCACGCATAGTTTTTGGTGTTTTTTTGTATGATATGCATTTTCCATGAACTTCTTGAAGACCATCCCTCTCATACTCACAAGAATGAAACAAGCTGCACTGTCCTCCAAGGGGCCTTCCCTGAGTTCAGCTTGACATTTGGTCTCACTTAACTACTGTAGGCTCCTTGGTTGGCACCAGTCTACACAGAATGACATGAGAGGTATTTATCTAACACATCCAGCTTGCCTGCAGAGCAGCTGCAGACATTCCTCTTCATGGGGAAGAGTCCTCACTATAGCTGAGGTGTGAGGAGACGAGATCCACACAGGGTGAGGGTCTCTACCTAGACTTAGAAGCCCCTTGCCCTGTATGAGCCATTACCTCTATGCTTCATAGGCATGGTCACTTACTCAGTTATAAGAGACACCACGCTCAGGGCAGCCTCATGGCATTTGTAATCCACTTGTAGCCCTCCCAGCTTGGATGCAGTTTACAGATATGGGCATATGGGAGGTACTTTGGGGATAAGCAGGTTTGCCTGATCACATAGATAGTATTACAATCCCATCTGGTTTCTGGAAGAGCTAGAAAGTTAACACAGGGTCACATTTGTCCACTGAAAAGGAAGAAGCATTTGTTAACCCAGAGAAGGCATGTGTACTTTCCAGAGAGAGCCAAAGAGAGAGGGAGAAGGAGGAAGCGTCCCCTATGGGGACTCATCACACCACAGTCTGTCTCCTTCATTTCACCTTCCTTTTGAGATTTTGGGTCCATGCATCCATGTATCAAGCATTTTTTAAGACACAGGGTCCAGGACTCTATCTGCCTGGTTAGCCACGTGAGATCCGTCTGCCTTAACCACCAAGTCACGCTGGCCCTCTTTCTTTTTTCTTAGTTGAATCAAATGGCCTTTGTTAATGGTAACGGGATTGATGAACTAGATTAGTTCTGGAATCACTGTAGAAGTCTAGAAGGTGGGGTTGCGATCAGGAATAGATGAAGACCATGGTTCCTAAATTGGAAAATGAAATGCCAGTGGGTGGAAGTGAGAGCCTTTGGGTAGGAATTGGACTGTGTAGCTTGGGAAAGTTCATGAAAGTGGCTGTAGGCATGGCAGGAGTCAATTCTGAGAAGGTAAGAGAGAACAGTTGCCTGTTCAGTCCTGCCCTTCCTTGGTTCTCTTTGGCAGAGCATCTTTGTAAAAAGAGGCCTATTTCCTTGCTCTCCACCAATCCCCAGATGAATTTACAGATGCTAACTGTACAGAGGTTGTCTTTCAAGAAGATGGACCCATGGGACCAGCAGTTAGCGTAATGGCTATGTTACTGGACTCCCACGTAGTCGACCGCGATTAGCGTCCCGGACCCGGTGGCTTAAACTCATGCTGGGTGTGTGTGCGTGCGTGCCCAAGATCCCAAGAGGAGAATGGAGGAGAAGGGATTGTGGCATGGCCATTCCCTCTTAGGGGGTGATTTATCGCTTTCTGTCTCTCTGTCTCTCTCTGTCTGGCGAGCACACGCACCCTA